GCCAATAACCACTTGATTCCTATGAGGACTAAGGAATTATGGTTGTGCAATTCCTGCCGCAAATTTTGTTTGCGCGACATACTATCCATAACCCTTAGAAATTAAACCAGTCAAAGTGCCAAACTTTTCTTCTCGCACGGCCGTCTCCTTCTCGCCCATTCAAGATTATCAAGATAACAAAAAAAGGTGTGTTGTTTTACTTTGTCTACCTCATACATCCTGAAGCTGTTTGTGCTTGAGGGTGTTGAGCCTGACAATTGGCAACTAATATAAATCGTCATCGTAGATTTTCTGTTCTCTGCCGCACATCTAACGAACAACTCACTTAGGGGCTCGCAATTTCCCAACTGTCACATTCCTTAGTTCTCATTCAAACTTTAAAAAGAGTTCAAACCTTCCTGGCGTAATTCCGTGCCGAAAGACTCGGTTATGATAGCTTTGCTATAGTAGTAAATACTATAACAACTAATTGCGCATCCCTATCCCTTTTCACCCCCTTCCGAAACTACCAAGCAATTTATCAAGGTGCTTATACACTTTCTTCGTTTTTTTTTTTCAAACTAAGTTTCCTATTTATTACATCTCTAACTTCCCTGTTTTTTCAAATCACAGCGTGCTTGTTTACCTTTACAAAACGCGGCTGTATATATTCCTCTTCATAAATCTGTTGTTTTTGAGACAGTATTTGTCGTTATGTCTTTACTAAAAAATTTTTTTTATTGTAAAAATATTTCTTGTAACGAAAGAATTCCGACATGAGTCAATCACCACTTACTCAAGTCAGTCCAGATAGTGAACATAGTACCATAATATCACAGGATAAATTTTTTAATAATAATACTAAGACCGAAGGTAAGGTTCTACAATTCGGTTTAACTTATTTTCTGTCGGGATGTTGGAGTATTAGAATAAAAAGGTTTAGAAGGAATTTATGGAAGTTACGATTTAGGCTTGAATTTCATTACTTCCAAATGTATTTGATGAGTTTTTGCAGTTCTTTTGCTTTTTTCTGCGGTTGGCAACAAAAGGCAAATAACATTTTCTTGACCAATTTAAAAATAAATGGTCATGAAAAATTTTTTGCATTTGACGTCGTTACTGCAGGAAATATGCAATAATCAAGGGATTTTGTTTTTTTCAAATAGACACAGCAACCCAAACTCCTTCGAAAAATGCTTCCATCTCAACTAGCAATACATCCACTACCCTTGCAAATGCAGGTCAACCCGCACCAACAAGTCCTAAATCTCCAGCAAACACGGGTGCGACCCAACGTCCACTACCACGTTCATTTTTCTCTTTACTTTTTTGTTGCACATGGGGACCTGGTGCTATAGTCAACGATGGTGACAAAGTGGAACCCACCACCGTATCCCCTGCTACCGTCACACCGTCCACGACTGCACCCAAAATCACTCCCAAAAAATCGACAGAAGAAAAATCTTCAGATGAGCCGGTAGTATCTGAAAACCCAGTGGAAGAACCAATTGAGGAGGTTAGTCAAAAAAATTTCATATTCCCATAAAGTTTTAATTATTCTTTGATTAGATCAATAGTTTGATTATTTGATTGTAATTAAGAAAATAACAGAGGAAATGTATATAGGACATGATGTATGGATCTCTATTTTTACTAAACTGATTACATATATATGTCTCATAATAAATAAAGGTTGAGCGTAAAAGCCTGCTTGCACCAATAGCTCCTGAACATTTAGGAAAAAAATGTTTGGTGCTAGATTTGGATGAAACCCTAGTGCATAGCTCATTTAAGGTATGAATCGTTATCATTTTTTTATCGGTAAATTCATTCTGACTTTATTTGTCTCTATAGTTTATCCAACAAGCCGACTTTGTTGTACCGGTTGAAATTGAAAATCAAATACATAATGTTTATGTGATAAAACGACCAGGTGTCGATCAATTTTTGAGAAAGATGGGCGAAATATATGAGGTTGTTGTGTTTACGGCCAGCTTGTCCAAGGTTAGTTAATATTTCCTTCATTCTTAAATCAAAGAAAAAAATCTCACAGCTATCATTATCTAGTACGCTGATCCTGTCCTTGATATGCTGGATCAAACTAAAGTGGTGAAGCATCGGCTATTCAGAGAATCTTGTTATAATCACAAAGGGAATTATGTGAAGGTAAATTTTTTTAATATTTTATATGTACACGCCTTGCACAATATTAATCTGCTCATTGTTATATAATTAAATTAGGACTTGTCACAACTCGGTAGGGAGCTTCGGGAAACCATCATTATTGACAATTCACCGGCTAGTTATATTTTTCACCCCACTAATGCAGTTCCGATATCTTCATGGTTTAATGACCCTCATGATACCGAATTGTTGGATCTGATACCATTTATGGAGGATTTGACAACGGTAGATGATGTGATGATGGTTTTGGATTCTTCTAATGAAGCTCACTAGATGTGATGAGTAGAGAATACTTAACGTAGCAGATGATGGTCTGATAGTAATTTAACACAGACCAGAAGACACGCTCACGGCTGCTCTCTTGCTACTCATGCTGATTGTCAAAGATTGAATTCTTCTTTACATTTATTTGAGGCCCCGAAATTCGAGAAGGCAGTTCGTGAAAAATAATTGTAACTATTTTTGATTTTTTTTTTCCTTTTATCAATCCTGTCACAGAATTGTTTTTACGTCTTAAGCACTGTTACATTAAAGATTGGACTATCTCACTCGACAAAAATGCGATTATCTTTTCTTTACTCTATAATTTATCTAATTAGTGCACAAGATGTATAACAACCTAAATACGTTTCTTGGTGGAATTAATTGGGCACGTCTGTTCTTTTTTCTTCTACATTCTTCTACATATTGTTCACATTAGATTATTGAGGAGAAATTTGAATTCTTGATCGGCACCGCGGGGCGATGTATACCGATCTTGTTTTTTTTTTTTTTTTGTGTAATGTCTTCTCGTCAATTCAATTTAAATATATACACGCAGCAAATTATGTATGAGTTACAA